CCCCCCCCCCCCCCCCCCCTTCTTTTCCCAACCTGCATGCACAACTCTTGTTCCAGTTGTTGTACTGTGCAGTGTATTGTAGGTACTAATCGACTGGGCTTTCCCTTGTCTGAATGCTCAACTTTGTGGAACCGTATCGTCTAAACAAAACAACAAAGCTTAATGGCTGCAGGGACAGGTCTCGCTAGCTGGGCTAGAGTTGTATCTCTTGATGTTTGTTGTAAGCGTATAAGATTTCCAGGAGCTGTGAGTCACTCCATGCTGTGCGATGTTCTCTCATTGCGTGTTGTGTCGTTCACTTGCGATGCTAAATAATAGAGGACGTACGATATGCTTTTGTTTTGTGGGGGGGGTTGCTTCATTGGATTTGTCTGGTGTGTCTTGGCTTCTTTTTGGTAATCATTTTGGGGCATTTGATGTGTTCTGCGCTCCTGAATGATGCTCTGAGGCGTTGGGTATGTTTTCTAGGCCTGAAACAGACAGCCATATCTAACGGTGCTCTGAATTGCCACGGTCTGCTCTAGGTGAGATGTGGTAAAAAATGGTCGGCCCAACATTTTTCTTATTCCATCTGAGGCCATCGGCGGCTGCGAGTGCGGCTTCAATCAAAAGAAAAGAAAAGAACGCCTGGTAGACCCCCAAAATTGGCCACAGCAACCAAACCCAAAAAACGGTTGGCCGGGTTGGCCCAATAAACATGCACGGTGGGAAAAAAAGGTGTACACCCACTGCCACTGCTGACGCCTGCCTGCCCACCCATCCACCAGTACACACGTGCATGCTGGTCGGCCCACCCCCACACCCACACCCACACACACCGAGAGCTTGGTCCGACCAGCCACCATGTAGTTGTGGAAAACTACACTGTGCGGCATTAGTGGGCAGGAAGAGATCTACTGCGGTATGATTTTCTGATGCGTGAAAGTCGAGGTGCCAGTGATCAGGCCTGGGAGGAGACGGGTGACACAAGACGACCCATCTTGCTGAGGACGTCGCTCTGAGTGTGTGTTTGGCCAGGTTCGTGAATACGAATGGAAGGGACTTGCCACTCTAAGGGACTTTTGGTGGGCCTGTGAGGTACCCGTTATTGCTTGAGAGTGGGGCGAAAGCACTCCATCGTGATCGTCGCAACAATTTCAGGCAGACGAGACCCCCGACCTCCACCCCATCAACCCCACCCCATCTACCCCGGCGCAGATACAACCTCGCCCGCCCGCCCTCACTCCTGAGCGCTCGCATACATGCACAACCACTTGCCTGTCCGCACGCCAGTCCTTCATGCTCATTTTTGGATGCTTCCTTGATTCACGTGTGTCATTCTTCAGGGGCCATGCTAATCTTCTCTGTATCGTTCCAATTTCAAGGATACCAACATGTGTGTGTGTGTGTGT